ATAAAACCGAAGCTCACCTGCAGTTTGGGTAGCTGCGGGTGAGCGTTTGAGGGCTACAGTTTTGGGGGGGCCGTCCGTTAGGTCGTGTTAAAACTAATCCTCTACGGAAACAGGTGAGCATAATTCAGTTCTGCAAGATGAAAGCCTGCGATATTGACTCACTTCTTTCTGTATGATAAAAGCCTTTCCAGCCTATAGAAGCAGTTACAAACCAGAACTGAATCAAGTGATTATAGTAAGCAGCAGAGTGCAGATAGTGTAGATCTTCCTGTGCCTTTATGGTGGTCTTTTAATATTTACTCCTGTCAATCTTCTGCACAGACGTTGAAATAAAATAGTAATGATCATCACTGGGCAAAAATTACTGTAATTGAAGCAAATTCTGTGTGAACAGAGGTAAGATAATAACGTAGTGTGGTTGTAGTGGAAATAAAGTAGAAATAGAGATGATGTGAAAACAAATTTCCCCAAGCTCTGCAAGGTGTCTAAACATGTGCTTAGTTTTCTGTGCATTAGGGTAAAGTGTATCAAGAAGCACAACTTACTGTTGCTGAGTGGTTATCCTTTGGCAAATAAATTGTAATACCTGCTATCTGTAGGGTTTCCTATAGGTATTGTTGTAAATGAAAACAAACAATTTTTCTGTCTTGTGAAGCATGTAAGTTCCTTATCTAGGTTGGTTACTAAAATTTTGAATTTTTGTTCATAGCAAAGTCATTGCAACCAATCACTAAAACTGCCTTTTTAACATTTTCGTTGCAGGTGAATAAGCTTGGTATTGTTGCTGTGAGTAAGTACGCATAGATTATTCTTTCCTGGGTTTGGTTGTTGCTTTTTTTTTTAACATATCTGGCATCTGCCCTTGATTCTCAACTCAAAAATGGAAAATTAATTGTATGTACTAATATTTACACTGAAATATTTTGAAAGGAGTCTCAGAAATATAAAATATCAATTTGGAAATAAGACTTCTGTTGCAACTGTAACTTAGTTCTCTTAGGGGTATACCTTATGAGCCTCCTATTCTTGTCGTCTTCTTCTTCCAAGGATACCCCTAGACCTTAAGGACTGAGCAGTGAATAAAGCTGTTAATTCCAGATCCCTTTTTTGTTGTTTTTGTGGTTACTAGAAGGCTGTGTTATAGGAGGAAAATAATTACAAGATCGGAACAGGTGGGGATGGGACTAAAAGTCTTCAGGGAGTGTTAAAAATTGGGTGGACTGCTGGATACAAAGGGTATGAATTGATGGCTTGACATCAAGTTGGCAGTTGGTAACAAACAAAGCGTGGTGCCCTAAATGTCAACAGCAGGGCCCGGGCTGTTCAGCACCTTCACCTGGGTGATGAAGCGGAGTGCAGTTTAGTAAAAATTTGCAGACGATGCTATGTTAGGAGGAGTAGCTGACACCCAGAATGGCAGAGCTTCAGTCTGGGCAGGCATTGCAAAATGCTAGGCCTGGGCCAGCAGAAACCTTGCCAAGTTCAGTGAAGGCAAGTGCAGAATCCTGCACCTGGGACGGAACAAGCCGGGAACTGTTTTTTTTTCCTGCTGAAAAGGAGCTGGGGCTGTGCTGGTGCCAGTTTGAACGTAGACCAACAATGCACTAACTGTGAATAAGGCAAGCCATGTACTCAACTATGTTAGGAACAGGGCCAGCGGATCAGGTAAAGCTGTTATTCTCCTGCATGTTGTGCCTGTGAGGCCATACCTGGAACTGTGATACCCAGTTAGCGTGGTTCTCCCCCTCCCCTTTCTCTTTCAGGAGGGATGCTGAGGAACTGGTGAGTGTCAGGGGCCTACAGTATGACAAAGGGACATTAAAGTAACTGGATTTGTGTAGTCTTGCAAGCGGAAAAATACGGGGTGACCTAGAGGCAGCCTGTTACCTGAGGGGCAGTTACGAAGATGGCAGAGCTGAATTTGTAGTAGTAATGGCAGACAGACCTCCCCTTTCTCTTTCAGGAGGGATGCTGAGGAACTGGTGAGTGTCAGGGGCCTACAGTATGACAAAGGGACATTAAAGTAACTGGATTTGTGTAGTCTTGCAAGCGGAAAAATACGGGGTGACCTAGAGGCAGCCTGTTACCTGAGGGGCAGTTACGAAGATGGCAGAGCTGAATTTGTAGTAGTAATGGCAGACAGAATAACAAGGGGCAGCAGCCACAGATTGCAGCTTGAGAGGGTCACAGTGGACATTAAGAAAAATGGCCCTGACTAAGAGGGAAGTGTAGTACAGCGCAGAGCTTGAGCAACCTGCTTCCCCAGAAGTTTTCAAGACTCAGCTGGTTATAGCTGCTGTTAACTCCATCAAGTACTGGTGATAATCCAGCTTTGGGAGGAGTTGGGTGGGAAGTTGAACTAGATGATTTCCAAAGGTCCCTTCCAACTGACGTTTAGATGATTCAGTGAGATACATGCTGTCTTGAAAAGTAGGTTTTTTACTTCTGTATACCACAAAGTTTTTACACAAACCTCATAAACCAACGTATTTTTCATTAACAGAGCACTTACAAACTTGAGAGTAACTAACTGTCACATAACTGGGACTAGAACTAAAAGATCAGTAGAGCATAGTTACAGCTATAAACACATTAATGTAACTTATGTTTTCAGCTTACAAAATTGTAAAAACCTTGCCTGTTCTGTGGAATCATTTTCAGTGGGCTACATCTTCTTACAGATGTAATCATTTAAGCTTTTTGAGCAATTGAGATGTTTACACATAAAATTGTGATCAAGAAAATGAACGATGTGCCTCTCTCTGCAGTGTTGTTGGTTTATGGATGTTGTGTGGTTAATGTATTGAACTTTTAAATTGGGGTGTGCCTAAAACTATCTTGGCCTAAGCAGACTTGCATACCGCTCATGTGGAGTACCAGATATCTGTAACCTGACTGTAGGCCTAAGTCATTTCAGAGGCGCTATGGGAAGATGTCTAACACGTTCAAAGAAATGAAACCTCTCCTAAGGTGCAACCTTTTTTAATTTCTTAGCTTAGTTCTTCCCATTGAAGCTGTGCTGCAGTACAGGAAAGGGTACAGGATTCCTGTGTATGATAATAATTCATAATACAAAGCAACATTGTAGAGAAGGCTGCTGTGTGATGATGTAAGTTTGTATCATAGGCTCACTCCCACAGTGACTGATTTTTATTCTGGTGTTTCTCTACAATCATTAAGTGCTGTCATTTCCATTTTTATGTTTTGCTAGATTGAGAGTATTTTTCTGTAGAGTTTTCTTATTTGTCATATTTCTACCATTTGAGACCACACCATCAGCTTCTGTGGTCTGGAGCTTTGACTCTTTTAGCATTTGAGCTAGTAAAGTAGCAGATTACAGTAGTAGTTACTCTTTCTGAACCAGTCACAAGGTGGAGAGTGAGGTGTATTCATAGAGCAGTAAATTCCCAGTGTCTTTAGCTGTAATCAGGAAACGGGTCCAGGAGTGGGTCACTGTCTTCCAGGTCTGCAAAATGGCTTAACCTAATAGGCGTTGCTAATGCTGAGACTTTGATTTATCATCTGTGTTTCCAGTCCAGTGGACTGGGCGGCTCTGACAGTCTGCAGAAGTGTTATGTTGGGATAACTTCTTTATAAGCCCTCACGAAGTGAGCCTTTGTTTACAGTGGTAATTAAGTAATTTACTAAGTGTTTTTCAAAGGAACCACCTTCTGATCTATCAACCCGATGTTACTTATGTTGTTGTTGTTATTGGTGTGATGTTCTTTGTGGTAACATTTGCATTCATCTGAAATGAATGCATTTCTCTTAAGATACTCATCAGAACATTCAACAGGAGGGCTTTCTTTGTGGGTCACCATGCTAAATAAATACACTGTCAGGCTTTCTCATTTGTTATGAACCTTAAACTTGTTGAACTTTTCTTCTGTTTGATTAACAGGTAATGCTTTGCCACAAGACATTACATGTTTGGCAGCAGACCGCATGTTGATATTTGCTTCGTACGACAATATTCTTCATGCTTTTGCCAGGAACAAAGAGGTTTTTTTATTAGTTTACTTACTGCTGAGTAGTACAAACCAGTTCTGTAGTGTTTGTGTTTTCAAAACAGTTAATTTTCTACAAACATCTGTTTCCACAGATGTTTAATAACCTGTAGAAGGAGGAATAAGAAGCTTAAAATAGGAGAACATAAGAACAAATTCTGTAATGGGTGACCTGCGGTTTATATATTAATTATAATAATTAAGTAGTTACTTATAACAAAAATAAATTGTTAATTCACATAAATTAAATGAATTAAAATTAAACTAAGTTATTGAAAAAAACAGTTAAAATATTTTTGCCGACAGTTCTAAATATTGGAGAAAATGTCTTCCACTTAAAGTTGCATGGCATTTCCATGTATTTTATTTAAACTTGTTACTGAGATGCATTAGCTGTCCTCAAGTATTTTGTTAACATGATATGCTACCTCAACAGCTTATATTGAAAACATTTCTATTTTGAAATTATAGGTGGTTCATACCTATGAAGGTCACAAGGCAAGGATACACCTTCTGCAGCCTTTTGGTGATCATGTCATCTCTGTGGATGTTGATAATGTCCTTATTGTTTGGAATACACAGTCAGAAGGTGAGAGACGCTTTTTTTTTTTTTAATTGCTTTATAGGATAGCATTGCTAAACATTCAGTAAGTAATTTTTTTTTTAAAAAGTGTTTTAAATGTGCACATTCAGAAATAGTTTATTCTTAAAAAAAATAAAAATCTTTATAGTGCTACTTAAACTGTAATCTGAAGTTCCTAATCCTGCAATATTTTTTCATTAATGGATCATGCACCACATGTAGAGACCCAGTAAGATTCCCCATAGATGTAAAGAGCTATACTTATACAGAAATTGCATTGCAGTGTTCCATTTTCTGGTAAAGACTATAGTACAGCAGCTCTGGCACCATCTCTGAAATCCTTGTAGTTCCAGTACCAGTCTGGGTAAGACTAAATTCTTATGAATAATCTTTTGATTGTGTCAGCATCTTCTCATGCCATTGTAAAGTGCCTTATGAAATCCTGCTTCACTGCCCTGAATTTTTTTCTTTAGAAAGCAGTCTCATCGGTGTGACCAATGTAATTCCCTGGATGCTGGGTCTCGAAAGTGGCTGCAGACAGGCTTTAGAGATTTGAAGTTGCTATAACAAACAAAAGGCATGCTAATCAGATGAGGTGTTTTGCTCAGGCAGGAGCAGGAATCCTTCAGAAAGATACAAATCACTACAGTTTTGCCAGTGGTGTTGTGCTAGGTAGGCTTATAGGGAAAAAATATACCTTCAAGCCAACAGATGTTATACCATAGACAAGTTTAGCCTGTCCTGTTACACACTAGCTAATCCTTTAATGCAAGAAACACCCGTTATGGGATTTGTACAGAATAAATACCAGTTCTGCTTTGCATTTGCCAAGGGATGATAAGCTTGCAGATTTGTAGGGGTAGCCTCACTAACATTGTTTCTTACTTTTTTGCAGAGGAGTATCTTCAAGTGGGTTTTGATAAGGCCACTTTTGCAGTTTCTGCAATTCTGCATCCCAGCACCTATTTAAATAAAATTCTGCTTGGGAGTGAACAAGGGAGCTTGCAGCTATGGAATATAAAATCCAAGTAAGAATCTTAATAACTTGTTATACTTCATGCTCCAAGTAGCTTCATATGCAACAAATAATACTTTTAACTGCAGTAGGTTTTGAACGTGGAATCTTTTACTGACTCCTTTGGCACAACTTTTCAGTTGGTCTATCTCCAGGAACAAAGAATGCTGCTGCTCCCTGAATGCTGATGCCTTTCAAGTTGGGTGTTGTTTACTCTCCCTGTAAAATGTCTGGGATTGTTCAGGAATTTTTTTTTTTTATAACTATGTTGTTGGGTTTTTTTATTTCTTGGAATCACATAGCTTTCCCATGAAAATAATTACTAGTAAGTGCATGTTCAGGCCTTCTGCCTCCCTTCTTCCAAGCTAAATTTTTTGGTTGTTGTGGAAGTGCTGGCAGGTAGTGTGGAGGTAATTACTACCATTTGATCCTTATTCTCAAATGAGAGATGTGTAGACATGTAGTTGTCTCTCAGCATGTCCCAGTAGAGCACTCTCTGTAATGATATTTCATGCCTACCATGGTCAGCTGCTTTCCTAACTTTTGAAAGTTACAGCTACAGTGAACTTCCATGCATGTTAATGTACATACTGCAAATAGGTGTTAACTCAGCTTGCGTAGTTCAGTGTTTTCTTCTTATAACTACTGTATACTTTCAATGATATCACTGCTAATTTTTTTGTTTCATATTCTAAAGTTTTGAAATGCCGTATATGCTGTGTAAATCAGGAAATAGGAATAACATAAAAATATAGAAAAGTAAATGTCTCTACTCATAGTACTTTTCTGTGTAAATACATATAAAGCATCCATTTTGTTGTGGAAAATCCCCAAGGGTTAACTGATTTATGGTTTTTGTTTGTTTGTTTTCCAGCAAACTCTTATACTCGTTTCCAGGGTGGCACTCTGCAGTCACAACTCTTGAACAAGTTAGTATTTTTATTGTCTTATTTTCTTACATAACTGGTCAAGGATAGCAGGCAAAATGCTGTCGTTTAAAATGACAGCGGTAAAGATGATGTGCATTCTCTCAGGTAATTTTAAGAACCCTCTTGTGAGCATTGCAGACGTTGAAGAGAGGTAGACTTGAAGGCTTATTATCTGCCCTTCCTCTAGTCCTAGTTCTGTTGCGTTTAGTGTCTTAGCTGTTTTGCATTCATCACGTCTGTAGTTTGATTCACTGAATGATGTAATGAATTCACAGAAACTGTTTGTTTGCAAGATGCATGCGTATCGTGTAACTTCTGTTATACTGGTAGCTTTTTACAAAGTTTATTTTGCTTTGGAGGTTAATAACGTTTAGGTTTTGCTGATTCAAGAAAAGATTTTGTAATTGTATTTGCTATTTTTTTGTAGATATAAAAATCAATGAAAACTTCTTGGTAGCATGGTCTGCAGTTCTCCTGGATAAAATTTGTAAATATGGGGTGTGTGGCAGGGGGCATAATGGTCTACCAGAACTACTGAAAACTTCAAGTGAGATGGTTTTCAAAGGACTTCCAGCTTCTGGAAACGGAAGTGTTTCATCCACTGGAGACTAAGCGCAAATTCTTGCATCTCTTATTTTTTGTTTAGATTTATCAGATGTTTAGTCATGCGTTAAGGTAATATTGATAGAAGGTCTCACGCAAGATGCTTTATTTGTTTCTTTACTATTTGTCCTGGAGTTAGATGCATTGTCTTGTATATATTGGTATTAGTAGTGTAGGAAAAAACTTCTTTTTCATTTCAGTTGCTGTTGAATTTTTTTTTGCAGGCTCCAGCAGTGGATGTTGTTGCAGTCGGTCTTGTATCTGGTCATATCATTGTACATAATATTAAGTTTGATGAAACTCTGATGAAATTTCAACAAGACTGGGGTCCCATCACAGCAATATCTTTTCGTACAGGTAAGTCTTAGCATTTTTAGTGGAAATATGTATGAAATCACTAAAGCTAAGTGGAAGGTAGGAAAACATGTTTTGATAAAGTATTTCAGAATCAAAATTTGGGCTGAGAGTTTTAGTTTTCAAAGGCTGCAGATAATGTAGAAGTTACCAGTAAGTAAGGGAGATCATGCATCTTCATCATACTGGCTGTTGTATAGCATTTTCTTGTGTACTGACTCAGCGCGCAGGAAGTGTGACATACAGTACTCCCTTTTCAAAGAAAAGTAAGACAGTTTGTGCATCCATAACACAGTACAGTTATCAGAGTTAGTGCAGAGTGATCAGTACACTGTAGTGTTAGTATCCAAACCTACTTTTCAGTAGTGTCTTCCCCCTCCAAAACGAATTTAGAATAATAGTTGACTATTGAATGGATGTTACTGGGAAACACTGTCTATATTCACCGTTGGTTGGGTTTTTTGGGTCGAACAAGCATGTACGGATTACTAAAGCTAGTTACTTTGATGCTGATCCTGCCTACAGAGGATACTGTTGATACTGAATCTGATGTCTAATTTGGATAGACAAACTTGCAAATCTTAGCAGAATATAGATTGATGCAGATCCCATTGAGGAGGGACAGACTTGTCATTTAACTCAAAATAAATGGAATAACTTCCGTTGCCTGCTTGCATATGTGGCGTTCTCTAATCTCTCTCTCTTCGTGTCTTTATAGTTAGGAAATTCAGTGTAAATATAACTTGGTTGTTTAGAACTCATGTACTTATTTTAGTCTTTGAGTAAAGTGTTTTTCATCTAAATTCAAATGGAACTTGGCAAATTGCCATATCTGTGAAGCTTTACTGAAAAAAAAAAAACCTAGGCATGTCTGGTTTAGTTATCTATGATTATGTAATTGCAGATTTGAGGCTGGATTTTTCTTTTGTTGGAGTGAAAAGATTAGTTACCAATTATGCAGGATATTGGGAGGAATTTTGTCTTAATATGATAAGTTTTAAAATCTATTATTTGTAGGACATTTTTAGAACTTAGTATGATGTGTTTATCTCCTTAATATTAGACAGGGTAGAGCAAATAGAACAAAAGTAGAAATTCTGTGAATTGTGGTTTAATTATTGCTTAGAATAACTGAATAAATGTGTAATCAAATTCTGGAACTTATTTTTGCAAGCTGTTGAGCAAAAAACTTACAAGGATTTAAAGAAAGGACTGGTAACTTCTAGTGTGGTGATACATTAGCTATCACATCCTGAAATGTGAAGGCTAATAAGTTTGGGGAAGAATCTGGGGTATAGAGTAACTTTTGAAAATGGTACAGGTATAACATCTCTTGTGATTTCAGGGTAAACCTCTAGCATCAGATTTAGATATATTTGTTGTGATCTAATATGAAAAAAAAATCCTGTTTTTTTAGTCGGTGAACTTTGTTCCTTTTCTGTTTGAAATACTAGAATATTTTAGTTAAAACATGTATTTATTTTTTTTTTTTTTAGAATCAGCTTGAGGTGGTTTTTTTCTTGTGATTGCAGCCTTTTCTTGCGTCAGTTTTAAGATGTGAGAAGTCAGTAAGGATGAGCTGAATGTCAATAAGCAAACCTTCTGAAGTTGTTTTTTTTTTTTTTTTTTTTTGAGCAGATGGACACCCAGTAATGGCAGCTGGTAGCCCAATTGGACACATTGCTTTGTGGGATCTAGAAGAGAAGAAATTAATGTGTCAGATGCAAGATGCCCATTCCACTGCAATAGCTGGTATGTCGTTTGTCCCTGGAGAGCCACTTCTTATTACTAATGGTGCTGATAATGCTATACGGGTAAGTTACAATACCTGCTGCTTTCTGCTATTATGCTTTTTTTCCTATTGTAGTCCTACAAATTGTAAATGTTTAGTTTGGATTGAAGTAGCAGTTTTTAAACGAAACAAATACAACAAAACTCAAGTTAATGAAGTTGCTGGCTCTCAGTTGATCTGTAGTGAGGCAGTTTAAGGGCTTGCTACCATGGTCTCATGGCTTCATTTGTTACTTAATGATAGCCCTGAAGAACAAAGCTTTGGATCTGCTTTTCCAGAATTGTGCTTTATATCCAGGTGCACTGTCTTAAATCTTGATCTGTTTTTATAATGCTCTGGGTCATGAGCAGTTGCTGTTGTAAAAGTCCCTTGTACTGTGTGTCTTGATGGTATTAGCCTTTGGTGGAGGGACAGAATGAACAGTGGGAAAAAGTCATCTGCCATGGTGGAAACTTACAGGGTTTTAGGTTCAAGGATGAAAGCCAATGTGTGAAGTTTGCTGCACCAGCTGCCAGCTAAGCCTGTTCCACTGCCAAGAGGTGTGATTATTGGCAGGGCAATGTTTAACAGCTTTGTTTTTCTGCATATTCTTGGGAGGCAGGTGTGGATTTTTGATGGACCTGGTGGTACAGGACGTGTATTGAGAAGTCGAATGGGACATAGTGCACCACCAACAAAAATCAGATACCATGGGCAAAATGGAGAGCAAATTCTTAGTGCAGGTATGAACTCTCATTCTTCGGTCTGATTGCTTCTGTGGTAAAGAAAATGTGCAGAGCTAAGCGTCTTTGTTTTATTAATACAATAGGTTATATTTCCTGTGTTATGTATGTGTATTTGAAGCATAGTAAGCGATTAGCGTAGACAGTATCATTTATTACTGTATCAAACTGTTTCACGATTTCCCTAGAGGAACATAAATCAGCAGGTAGGGTGAAAAGTAGTTATAGGCAGGAAAGCTTAGGAGCTGCTTTTGTCATTCTTATTTGTATGTTTGTTGAATAAAAATTGTTTCATTATTTCCAAAGGAACTATCAGCTAGTCAAAATGAAAACCTGTAACAACTAGGGAAATTCTGTTGTGACAGGGAAAAAATAAGCAGCATAATACATTAAGTAACTTAGAGGAGCCAATCCAGTTTTCTCACTAGTCTGAGCAAGCTTTGTGAGTTGCAGTGTCTTTGTAAGTTGGTACAGCTCAATTGTGTCTGTAATATATATTCCCAAGGTTGCTTTTTACCAAGGTATTAATCTAAAAGTATAAAAATGCATAAGTGACTACCCTGTGTTAGAAACTCACAGATTTTAAAATCTGTAAATTAGGCAATTAAGTACTGGATCCAACTGTTTTGTGGCCCAGAACACTTCGGTAATGGAATAATAGAGACTCTTCACCTAATCTTTAATTACTCTGAAGTAATGAAATTGCCTACATGGGCAATGTTTGAAAACATCCCACTGCATTTTGATGAATGTTACACCTAATATGGCACAACAGTACACTGTGATAAACCCACCTGTGCTAAAATCTCTTTCTGGTCTTCCAACTAGTAACTTGAATTTATGTAACAAGTTACTTGACAGTAATTCAGCTCACACCAGATGAACCACAGTAACAATCAAGAGTTGCTTAACAAATCCTCACATTTACTTTTGCAATTTAGTGCTTTGTTAATTGTACTGAAACATATGGAAAGGGCACAGAGGCAACCACTAAAATGAAAAGGGTCTCAAGCTTTGAGATCTCATGTATCTGCAGTGTAAGGAGACTGACTCCACATTCCTTTCTGAACCAGTGGTAAAACTTTGTGCAACAGAAATGAGGTAGCAATTTTGTGGGGTGCCTAGCCAGTGCTACTGATTTTCCTTAGAATAGGCTTCTTCACAAATTAGCTTTGTAAAAGTTCACCAGCGTCACTGGCTTTCATCATGGTTGACCTTTCTCCTAGTTCCCAGCGTATACATCTTGCCCTATTCTGTATTACAGCAGCAAGGAAAGGTTGCTTGAGTACTATAATTGTTCCCTTGTCTTTCAGATTCTTTAAGTTCACTTTGACTAATTTTCTGTTTCCTTGCTTGTTTGGCCTGGTAAAAATGTTGTGTGTTTTTTTGGATTTTAAAAATCATCTCAGTGCCTGTAATTTTACATGCGTTATGCAATTTCTTTTTCTGTTAGTTCTGGTTCTGCCTTGTCTATGTCTCCCCCACAAAGCGGACCTGTTTGCTAGTTTCAAATTTGAGCCTTCTGTCCCTCTATTAAATTAAATTCCAGTTGGTTCTGTGAACACTGGGTAGAGGAGGGAAGTCCCATTAGTGTCCTGTTTTACAGAAAAGATGGACAGCTCAGCTTTTACCGTTTCTGTTTGGGTCAGCTTACTGGCTAACCTAGGTCTAGTTCTTAACCAGCCACAGCACGTGTTGGCTAAATAGACAAAGCATAAAGAAAGGAATATTGCAGTTGGTGGGAGAGTATATGAGGTCATGGGAAAGCTTTGGAAGTATTATGGAGGTATTTTAAGGATGTAACTGTTTATTTAAGGTTTTAATTGTGGGGGAGAAAGAAGGGGGGACAGAGGAATTGAACATTGAGAAGATGTCTGTAAAAGGTGTCATTCTGATTACGTGTGGGGCAAAGTAGTAGGAATGGGATATAGGCCATAGAAAATAAGGCTCCATTAGTTCCGTTGCTTATGGTGTATCTGTATTTTTTTCTTGGATCAGAATTTTTAATAAATACCTTAGTTACAGCTTTTTAAGGTTTCTTAGTGCTTATCTTCTGCTTTTCTTGCTCAGATAGCTTATGAGTAAACAGAAGTTTATCTTTGCCCTTCACTGCCCTCTGCTATTATTTTGTCAGGTCAAGATGGAACATTGCAGTCTTTTTCAACAGTACATGAAAAGTTCAATAAAAGTTTAGGACGTGGTAAGTATTTCAGTGAAAGTACAAGTACTGGTGAAAAAGGCCCTGGAAAGCATTTATTTAAACAGGAGCTAAAACATTGGGTTGGCCTTATTTTCACTTTCAACTGTTGTATGAAAACTATGCATCTCAGTTGTTTCACAAACTCAGTCCTTCCTGATGTATATAAAGTGTACTCTGAGATGTGTTTGTACTTAAAAAACGTAATTTCTGTAGCCTGGCAGTGTATGTTATTTCACTGTGGGAAATGTTGGGCGTGATTCTGTATTAAAGATGTGTAAAGCAGTAGCTGACATTCCAGCATGTGTAATTACAACTTTTTACCCCATTCCCATTCTATTCAATTGACTAAATTATTAGTTAATTCATATTTCTTGACTTCAGTTCCCTTGATTTAATGTAGAATTTAATTTAAAAAACACATCTTCCACGCAATGCCATGGTTAAGGGACACTTTATTGTACAGTTCAGGGAGCAAGACTCCTGAACTGAAAGACTGAAATAATTCTTATTTTTAAATATGTGTATATATCGATAAATATGTATTTAGATAGATTTGAATAGACAGATGTAAATTAGTTGATTATATATATCCTTTGGGCATAAATTCAAAATTCCTGGCTCTTTGCTTATTGAAAGGATGTTATATATTGCCTATATAGTCATGTCTCTATCACCGTGGTTTTAGCTGTGGTGGGGCGACTTCTGCCTTAGGATGTCGGCACAAGATCCTGGAATGAATGGTTTGTGTAGTACATCTGTAACAGGCTAGTGATTTGTTCATCATCACATTAATTTTTACAGAAGCTCTATATATAATGTTCTTAGCTCTTCAAACCCTAGGTAACAGCAGTGCTGCGTTGATGTAAGCCAAATTTTTCTAAGTTTAATAGGAACTTTACATTTAGTAAACAGTCCTTTTTAAACTGTTATTCTCATATCTAGCCATGAGATTGAGACACTTTTTTTTTTTTTTTTAAGGTTCAATTAACAAAAAGAAGTCGAAAAAGAAAGGTCTTAAGCTGGATACAATGGCACTTCCACCAATTACAGTCTTTGCTTCAGGTAAGTAGTCTTAGAGATATATTACAGAACTCATCATGTCTTCGTGTTAACCCTCAAGACACAACTGTTTTGAAAGCCCATACTGTATCAAGATGAGATTATTGGCATTCTTTGGCCCTGCGTGAACCGTTGAGTGACAGTTGAAGATGACATTTTACTTGGTAAACTTTTCTGTTACTATAAAAAAGAGCATTTTATTTCAAACATCTTTGTTTAACTGGCTCTTGGCTTAAAAGTCTCCTTCATGGGAGCCAGAATCTTCTGGTGTACATATTATTCCAAGCTGGAGAACCAGCAGTTAGGAGGGGATGAAGATCTTTGTCAGCTGAGGAAATCATAGTTATAGTCATTGCTTTTGATTCCCCAGTTCCTTTATTTGAGTCACTTTTCAAAGTCAAATTTCAATTACTCTGTTCATTTGTAATTCAGTATGCAAATACTGAACCTAACTTGTTGAAGCAGAATTGCAATTATGCTTCATTTCAATTAAGCTGTTTCTTTAAATTAATGATGTCTTCAGACTTTAAGTCTGTTTTAAGTGTGGCTCTTCTTTTGTCTTCTGAGAATGGTTGATTGTTTCATATGTTGAAAGGTTTGGATTGACATTTTTGTGTAGCCATTTGCCTATATGTGGTATTTATATCTGCAGACTTCAATGATACAGACTATCTGTACATACTTGTTGCAAGTATGTCTGTGTATATGTGCACTTCTAAAATTAATATTAGACCTGTCTGATTGGTTTAAGGTAGTAGAACTACCTTAAATGTGTTTGGAGACATAAGAAAATACTTGTTTAAGTGTATCTTAGAGTTGTTTCCTTTTTGCTGTATTGTATTTGTTTAGTGAAGTGAACCAGTTTGTATCTGGTTGTTATATTCTTTGAAGTTGAAATACCCAATTTCAAGCTCTCAGATGTTTTTAATACTTTTGTCCCCCAGGAATTTATGTAAACTTGCTCATTATTTAAATCCCCACATACTGTATTTTACTACAAAGTTTGGATACTGAGCTTTTGAGGAATAATTTTCCTGCAAAGGCAGAAAAGTCTTTTTGCTATGTGAAGCAGACTTAGCTATTTAACCCTGCTTTAAGTTGTTAATGTAGTGGCTTCTGCTGCTTCAGCAGTTGAAGAAACAGTTAAGAGACTCAGCTGGAAATGAGTACAGATTGAGGAGTTTAACCCATTTACGTTTAAATATCCTTCCCAAACCACATACACTCAAATATACAAAGACACAAAACATAACATACAAAAAAAATGCTTATGGTTTTGTTAGCATTTTAGTTACACTAGCATATGCACAATGGCTTGCCAGGTGGTTTTTCTGAATGGTAGCTTTTTGACTGTTCAACAAGAACACTAAATATGAACTGTTCTGCCTAAAGGTATTTCAGAGTACTTTTTCTTAGGAAATCAGATGAGCTTATTTGACTAGAATGAGTGTTTCTAAAAGGAGTATGTGTTACATTGCAGAAGTGGCACATCAGAGTGATTGGGATAGTATTGTTGCCTGCCATCAAGGGTATATAACTTGTACAACCTGGAACTATCAGAAAACTTCCATGGGAGCTCATAAACTGAAGCCAGAAGAATTTAGCAAACACAAGCCTATTGATGTATATGCAACAGTAAGTATATTTAGGATAATGTTTATTCAGCCTTATGGATATGCTATATGGATTTCTGTTTGTACAGAAGCAATATTTAGAATGCAAAAGCACTATCTAGACATGTTTTAGTTGCTTTGCAAAGCGCTTTCTGCCAGCTCAGTGTGTCCTGCTAGCTGTTTTGTAATATATACAGTTTTAAGAAAGATGCTGCATATGTATTTTTTCTTAAACCTCCAGGTTAAGTGCAAATTTTATTTTCCGATTCAGATAGGTGGTTGGTGTTTACCTTTAATCTGTCATAGTCATCTACGGTTGACTATATGCCTGTGATGATAAACTTGCTCTGTGAGTGCACATTGCTGAAGATATTTTTTTTTGGCAATACAGAAAAATGTATTTCCAAATTGCAGTTCCCTCTAAAATGCTTTACAACTTGAGATGTACACAATGAAAGTCTAACAGACAATGAGATACAAATGTTTACAAGCTTGCAAGGCAAATAGTTACTGTGGCATATTTCATGTGCTAGACATTCATACTACTAATGTGTCTTGTCATAAATTGTTTTTCTGACCTTATGCTTAGTAGTTAAGTGGTAGATAACATCAGTTCAATTGTAAAAACCTGGTTTTCTAAGTACTAGATTCTTTGGACTTTATCTTTCTTTCCAAATACATCCAGACCATTGTTTCTTTGTTTCTTACTATTTAAACTCTGTGTGAATTTACCCTCTTTCACGGTGCCATTGGCAATACAGGCATTGAAAGAGGCATGCGGTCAGCATGCTTGGACTTTGTCTTAGGGATTCAATTTGTGGATGTCCTGATTATATAGGTTAGGCATTTAGGTTACAGTGTTAATATTATTAGATACGACTTCTGATGGATGTCATTAAGTCAGTGTTTCATTATCCTTCATAAGCATGCACTGCTATATTTATTACTTGTTGACTATTTTCCTGTTTTAAGAGCTCCTCTCTCTAGTTTTTTCAGATGTAGTCTGTTGTTTGGTGCAGTTTTCCTTGAAGTCTAATAAAAGCATATTGGTATTTTGTATTCCCAATATGTTATATATCTTCTAACAACTTTGCTAATTAGATACACACTTAATTCTAAGAATTGTTTTCACAGATGGTTTGTTTGGATTTTTTTTCCCCTTGAAAGGCAGTTGACATTACCTCATGTGGGAACTTTGCTGTAATTGGGCTGTCAACTGGACGGGTAGATGTGTATAACATGCAATCTGGCATTCATAGAGGGTGTTACGGCAAAGAAAGAGGTAAGAATTGCTACCCATTTAAGATACTGAGTCTTAGAACAGCAATAACCTGGTGTTCTGTCATCTAGGAAATTTAACATAGCTCCTAAGTTGAATTTAGGAATCTTTTCGGTTTCTGTAATTACCCTACACTTGCCTATTTTGCACCGTAATCAGAAGCAATTTGAAACCTACTCTGAAGGACAGGATCCCTGCTAGTTTTAACAGCTCTGATGTTAGCATATGTTTGGTTTTAATTAACACAAAATTGTCAGTTACCAAAATGGTTAGCACTAAAATGAGATCCTCTGGCCTCAGCTCTTTCTGAGATAATCGTGTTTCCAGTACTTGGCATCTTGTTATAGGGTTCTTTCTCTGAGATAAATTTTCCCATCTGTTTTGTGCTCCCTGGTTAAAAATGAAAGAATACTTTACATGCATGGGAAATCGAAATCCTAAGCAAGTCCAGTTCTTTGTATATGCTATTATTTTTAGTTACCCAGCTGCAAACTTAAATCTTAATGTAAATGACAGTGTTCAGACTTTTCCTTTTAATGGTTGCGTACATATATATATTTCACGTCATTTATCCTCTTTTATATTTGCTATTGCTTTTTAAGTCTGCAGTTTTTAGTAGGAGGCTTGTGATCTGATTTTTTTGTTGTTGTAGAAACAAGGAAAGTGTCTTGATAAACCCTTAAACCTTACTGGGTTTCTAAAAGCCTTTAGCATATCAAACATGAAGTGGTCTCCTAATAACATCATTGCTTCATAGTGGGATGAATTTTAGAAGTTTGATTACTGGCCAGTAGCCCGAGGCATAGATTAAGAAATAAATTTGATCCAAAACCAGAGGAGCTATGCCTTATCTTTACACTGCAGTGTAAAGTAGCCTAGGAAAACTCCTAGACTTTGTGCCAGAACTGAAGCTGTAAATTTTGTCTGGAGTGGTCAGGCTGCCTGGAGGCATTCCATAAGTGATCCAAAAAGTTCCTCAGATCTCACATTCAAAAAAAACTTCCAGACTGAAAGCAGAAATAAAAGCTAATATTCAGCTTCTATTACTCACAGCTTTTGTATTGTATTCTAGGTGTTTACTTGAAAGCAATTTGGTTTCTGTCCTGATAGAGAAACTTGTAATATTTGAGCAGTCTTGTCAGGTGGCTTTAGAATTATCACATGCTCACTGCTCATTTAGTGTAGTTAGACAAAGGCATGCAGGCTACTGTTTGGCATTTTGCTGATTTCTACGCTATGTTTAAATTCTGAAATACAGCTTGCTTTTCCCTTGATTTGCAGCACATGAGGGAGCCATTAGGGGGGTAGCAGTGGATGGATTAAACCAGTTGATAATCACAGCTGGTAGTGAAGGATTAATTAAATTTTGGAAATTCAAAACTAAAGATCTAGTTTACTCCACTGAGCTTTCTTCTTCTCCAAGTGGAATTCTGCTTCACAGAGACAGGTAAGAAACTGAAGCTATTTCATGTTCATATTGTTTTGCTGTAAGTATGTACGTCTAGGATGACAACTAAATATTTTATTGAAGTTTAGATTTCTGATGCATTGAAATATAACTGACTACGAGTTGGCAAAGCAAAGAGACTACAAGACATTTTATTAGACTGAAGGAATGTGATGCTGTTTATCTGAGATTATCTCAGAATAAAAGATATTTGGAGCAATGTTAGGGTCTTGTTTTTATTTTTTATCTCTGAGTATTAACTATCATATGTACTAATGATTCTTGGCAGTGGTATTCTGGGAATTGCCTTTGATGACTTCAGTATTAGTGTTCTGGATATAGAAACAAGGAAGATTGTCAGGACATTCTCAGGACACCATGGACGGATTAATGACATGGTAATTGTTAACTCATTTTCTGTAACAGGTGACATACAAATATCTAATTCATTTTAAAGATGGTGGATTTCTCTGTGTCTGTTAAGTCACTGAGTATTATGTTCAGCTGTGAATAGTAGAGTTGTAGTTCAGCTCTACAGCAGTTTTGGCCATGTTAGTTTTCAAGTTAAAATGTATAGTGTTTGAATGGCCATGTATTTTTAGTGTGCTTTGGGATTTTACTATAAATTTGCAACAAGCTAATTTTGGGTTTAACAAAATAAAGCATTAGGAATAATGAAGATCATGTTGAGGAACAAAATTGTGCAATGCTCATAACTGTAAATAAAAGGTATAAACAGATCTGAGATTGTGCAATGTACTGATAATTCCTTATATTACATCTTGTGTAATAGTATTTTGTAGTGTTTGTTGAAACAGTTTTTAGCTTCTGATCTAATTCTAAGTGCCAGTAAGTATTTGATTTCTTCACTTTTATGCTCAGTGGTTTTCATCGTTGACGTGAAAGCGAGGACCAAAGTGCTTGTACTAAGAGCCAGATTTATCCTGTGTCATATATTTAAACATGTTCTGAAATAGCTTCAATTTTTGTCCTTTTCTCTTTCAATAAGGTGATGTCAGTTTTGTTTTGTGGCCAGACCATTTTGTTGTGGTGTTGGGGAGCAATCTAAACAAACTGTGTAAAACAGGACCTCCTGTAGGGACCAACTTGTCAGTTTTGCCATTGAATTGACTGTTTTGTTTTAGACTTTCAGTCCTGATGGTCGTTGGCTAATAACTTCATCAATGGATTGTACCATTAAGACCTGGGACCTTCCCTCTGGATGGTGAGTCAGTTTAAAAACATACAGCAGAAATTTATTACAGTCTGCTTTCTGTCTGTTAAGTGGCCAGAAACCTTCTGGCCTGATTATCTGCTGCCAGCCTATATTATGTGATATTCAAAGTTGTACGTGGTGTAACAACTCAGTCCCCACTATTTTAGTTGTGTGCGGTGCAAGCAAATATGTGCCTTTTTCTGGGTATACAGAATAACGATGTCCTGAAGATCTGATTATGAAACCTGGAGTTTTCATGTAGTGTGAATGAGTGTGAATTTGTTCTTTGTCTGGAAGCAGCACTATAAGCTAAATGGCAAGAGATTGCTTAAAGTTAATTGCTTTGTGATATGCTGAAGTATTCATAGAATCATAGAATGGTTTGAGTTAGAAGTGACCATCAAAGATCTAGCCCAACCCCCCCTGCCATGGGCAGGGACATCTTTCATTAAATCAGGTTGCTCAAAGCCCCATCCAACCTGACCTGACCTTGAACACTTTCAGTGACAGGCCGTCCACAACCTGTCTTGTCAACCTGTTCCAGTGTCTCTCACCCTCATTGTAAAAAAACTTTTCTTATATACCTACTCTCAGTATGGCCCCTTTTCCTGTCATTACAGATCCTGTTAAAAAGTCTCTCTCAGTCTTTCTTACAAGCCCCCTTTAAGTATTGAAAGGCTACAAGAAGTTCTCCCTGCAGCCTTCTATTCACCAGGGTTGACAACCGCAACTCTGTCAGCCTTTCTTCATGTCAAACATGTTCCAGCCCTCTGATCATCTTCCTGAACCTGCTCTAACTTCACGCCTGTCTTGTGCTGGGGGCCCCGGAGTTTGATGCAGTACTCCAGTTGGTTTTGTAAATAGAAGCCTGTTCTCACTTACATTCATTTTAGCAACACAGTAAGGCTTTACTTCAGTTATATTTTTTCATTCGTGAATGCTTGGAACTGCCAAAAATACTTTTTTATCATCCACTGTGATTAGTCTCTTCCCAGAATGAAATTTGGCCAAGAAATACACAAGTACACACACGAGGTTCAGGAGCCCAGAAAAAAACAAGCCAAAAAGTAATGTTAACTTCTGCCAGTACATTCTTTTAGCAGCACATCAGATTTTTAGTAATTTAAAATAGTGCTACGCAGTGTGCAGCTCTGGTCATACCTGGGACTGACTGGTTTCATTTGGATTGATTGCTTTTGTTGATGTGGTTTGGTAAATAATTTTGTATACTGTAAAAGTTTTCACTTTACTATGAAGAGTGTGGTGAACCTCAACAAACAATTGACCTGTTCTTAGATGATGAATGACACTAGTCAAAAATGGGACAGGATGAACAGTAACTGTATTCTTTCCAGTATAAACAGGAGGGAAATTAACAGTCTGTTTGGACTTCCTCTTTCTAACCTTCTTTCCCTTTCCAAAATGATATGCCTACAAAAAATTAAGGCATTAATTATAAAACTTCAGAAATGTTACTTGTATCTTTCATTTCTCTAATAGCACTTTTCAGTAAGAATCCATTCATACTGTTTTTTTAAAAGTAATGTAACTACTTCTTGTTTGCGTGCAACACAAATATTTTTTTCTCTTATCTCTTAAGTAACTGCAAGAAATTCTGGTCAAGCTGAAATCTAGGCAGGTACATGACAAAGCCTGTTTTTGAAAGTAATTAGGTTAAGTTGTTCTTCCAGAATTTAAAGAAAATGTTTTACCATAACTATAGGCAGAGGAGCGTATTGAAAAAGAAGAACAGCTTTTAATAAAAAGCCAGATGCTTGATTTACTTCTGCTGTGGTATATTTGCTCATAAATAGAAGAACTGAATTATAAAATGTGCATTCTAAAGACTTGTCCTTATAAAAGGATGGAAAACATGTTTTTAGATGACTAGTCCTACGTTACAAAAACTACCAACTGAATTCAATAGGTGTCATACCAATTACTTATTGAACATCTGTTTTTACTTGGGAGTGCTGTGTAACTGTCCTTACATAATGCAAGTATTCGGAGTGCATGTTTTTTATGTAGGGCTTTTTGAGAATTGGGGAAAAAAATTACCGGTTTGCGTAGAGACATTTACAAGCAGGAACTTTGGCATTATGCAAAATTTTCTTTCTTTGGTGCAGCTTGCATATACGTATTAAGGAATCAAGAGTACAGGCTGACTGTTTATAGTTTGGATGGAGTACTTGAGACAAAATGGTGGAAGAAACATGTTGATATTGTGAGCTCAGCAGTTTTATACTTTCCATTGTCTCACTTTTGTGGTTAGGCAGGAAGTGTAAAAGTGAATGCCTTCAGCACCCAGGCAGGATTAATTTAGCAATTACTGCACATTTTGTGTAAAAATTACAGGCAAGTCTCTCGTCCTATAGTGGATTGATTCTCCCCCGCCCCAGATCTGTAATTGTAATCACGATTTAAATTCAGTAAGTAGAAAAAATTAATTTAATGTTAACTTTATTTGTTCCTTACAATTGCTTTGTTGAGCATTATTTCTCAGTTGCTGATAAAGGTTGTGGTGAAAGGGTGGACTGGAAACTAAAACCAGTATTTATGGTAGATTTTCTAGCCATTGTGCACTGTGTGCAAAATGTATCAGTGTAACTGATACGTGTTCTGGCATTTATGGGTTTAGTGTTTGTGTATTTTATGTTGAAAGTGATGAATGATGTGGCCCTTACCTGATTACCTTTTACTTGTAACATGCATCAAACTGCATGCAGAAGGCATAAAACATTCCATTCCATTCAGGGGAGAAAAAAATGGCTTTTATTTTTAACATGGTTTTTGTCAAACAATCACAGGATTGCTCAGTACCTAGCAAAATACATGGCCACAAGATTTTACGTTTTAAAGTGCTTCATTACATCAATATTATTTCTATGTTTGGTGGACAGAACAGGGTTGCAGAACTAGCTGCTCTTACTTTGCACTTCTCACTTTGCTTTTGATTTTGGTCGGTAAATAAGAACAGATTATTCAGGCTCTCCATTTGTTCTTTTTGTTTCTCTCAACTAGTTGTCAAACTCAACTGCTTCTTAGAATTTGAAGTAACTGAAATTTATACCTCAACAAGTGACAAGCAGTGGTATGAACCTGGGCTTGAGTGGATGTCTGCTAGGGTGTGCATCATCCAGGACTTGTGGCATCATCCAGAACTCAAAAGTGGCTTAATGTTAAAATAGTCACATAATAACTGAACATTTTAATTTTCTTTTTATGTGGTAGTTTTTCAGTTTTCTGCGATAATGAAAGGAATGATCAAGGAATGGTATATCAGGCTGAAGATACGGTAATGTCAAAAGAAACTCTTGCAGATAATCAAATTTTGCAGTGTACTGTTCATTCTTTATGAACATTAGGTCCTAGCGTTAACCAGGTGTATATGAGGGAATTGACAATTTATGGCAAAGCATTAAAACATGAGGTCAGAGCAGCATGGAACTGATTTGAAGTACGAAATTTATGGCCACTAAAAAGGTTAGTGTCAGGCATAAGGAGTTGAATGTGGATAGGTGGTTCATCATATTTTACACAGAGTGTGGGTGTCTAAGGTGGTCGCTTAAATGTACCAGCTTTAGCTGAATTTAGAGAATTTTATAGAGGTGAGTGGGTTGTTGCACTTTGTGCACTTCATGCTGTTCATTTGCTAAGTTTATATGTCATGTTTGCATACTTCTAATACAGTAGTTTGTGTACATACTTCCAGTGATCCTCTTGCATTCAGTTGTATTTGTGCTGTAATTCAGATATGTATAGATAAACAAGTTCATCTGGCTGAGAATTTCTCTGTTGTTTTTTCTCTACTTAGCCTCATAGATTGTTTTTTGATAGACTCCGCAGCTGTGAGCCTTGCTATGTCTCCTACAGGAGATTTTCTAGCTTCAACACATGTGGATGACCTTGGAATTTATTTGTGGTGAGTATGCAATGTGCCTATTTCTACACAGAATTTCAGATGGAGAGGGATTCTTTTAATCACCTTTATTGCAAATAGAGAAATGTTCTGCAAAGTGTTGTCTCCGGGGTTTTGTCTTCTCTGGTTCCAATTAAGACAAATATTCTGTATTCTTATGATTCATAAATTTTGAAATCACTTGCAGTTAAGATATTTATTCTGATAATTAAACGAAATATTTGTTTCTAAATGTTTCTTTCTTACTCTAAAGAATTCGTGTTATGCCATTCCTAAAGTTTTCTTTGACTCTTTTTTTTTTTTTTTTTACCCCTTTTGAAATGTCAGTGTGTTACTTCTGAAGGGCTTTTCTTGTTCTGGTACACAATGTTGTTTGAGCCTTCTGTATAGAATTTGGAAGTTGCGGTTATTTCTTTTTATTAATGATAGACCAGCACAGATGTAAAATGTGTTTTAGTTCAATTTCCTCTGGATGCAAGCTTTAAAACAAATGACTGGTTAGGTCCAGTAGTGCAGTAACACACCTTTTAAGTGGTTTGGTGTTTTTTATCTGTTTTGATAGATGGATAGATCTTTCAGGTTACATTTGTTGCCTGTAGTTCTGCCTGACGGGTGTTGAATTGTTAGACTTTTCTATGCTTAAGTAAAAGTGCTTCATTGTGAATAATGACAAATGTTTTTACCTAGCCTCGGTTTATATTGACAGAAAAAATAATTTGCCAGAAAGACTTGTGTACATGTTCCAAACCTCAAGAAAATTTGCTAAGAGTACTACTCTGAAATTCTGTGAAAGCACGATGAATCATTTATATTTGCATAATGTGTTGTACATATTGAGTACAAAGCAAACTTTTTAGATAGGGAATTTTGCAATTTCAAGTAAATACAGTAACTGTCAGTGATTGAAGTAATCATACCTCATAGTGCCCATACGTATTAAATGTTCTTGGCACAAATACTTCAGCATAGCTTTTATGTTTCAGACTTTCAGATCACGTATATTGCTACATTTCATTTCTTGTTTGTCTGGCAGATGAGGAAAACTAATCTTGAACAGAACCTGATGAATTGCGTTAATGCAGTAGTATTAGATTGCAAGTAAAAATATGTCTAAAGTACTTGTTCCCATTCTCCGGAAAATTGGTTTTAAAATGCCTGTCTTATTTTTCAGGTCAAACCGTTCCCTGTATTCACTTGTCTCTTTACGGCCCCTTCCAGCAGATTATGAACCTTCCATGGTGACACGCCCTAGCACCTGCCCTGTGCAAGGTAATCTTCAGATGAAAGAGTATTTTATTTTCAGTTTGGTATTATATTTCAAATAGAAGACGGTTTGCTTCCTCAGTGAAAAATTGTTGTGTCGTAGCATTCTTTCTCTGAACTGTTCTATTGCTTCTGCCGTTTTTGGCATACTTACTCATATGCTAATATTATTTGCTGAAGTCTAGTCATGTTTCTATGTTCAGACATAAAGAATTACATTGTGATCATCTCCACATCTTCAAGGAGATTTTCTAGGTAATAAAAACATCTGTGCTGTTTGCCGGCTTTCTTTAATCCCAGGCTTGTGTAAATACCTTCCGTTTTGACATCTGTGAGGCCAATTTGAAATTAACATTACTGTTTGGCAGTGGGAAGAGGACTGTTCTTCGTTCCACTTTCTTCCAGCTTTTTTTGTCCATTTTGTGTGCTTATAGTAGTGTTGCTGTTGTATATTGTCTTGTGGCAAGAGAATTGGGTTCAGCTGACCTGTCATGTACCTGTGCTAGATTCCCAGTGAAAGAAAGGCCTAAATTGCATTTTCGATACATTTAATACATACAGTTGAGCTTCTGAAGGCCTCTAGATGGAGATCTTGTCTGCTTAGGTTTAGCAGTTGCTTACATTTAGATCTCCATTTGGAGGAGAAACACACCTTGCTATTCACAGCATAAAAGAGTGAGGAACGTACTTGATGACTGCTTTATTAAGCACATACTTATTTTAGGTACTTAAATTAGGGAGACAGGATTTCATCCCAAAACTTTGAATGTTTTAATCCTATAAACTGATTCTGGCTGAATGCTTTAATTCACTTTCTGTCTTCAGCAGATGTAAATTGCCTGTTTAGATGCTCAGAGCTTTTAATTGTTTACATTTCTTTGTTGTTTTAGACTTTTCTATCATATTCATGGTTTCAGCCATATAATATTTTGCAAAAAGGAAGGGAAAGTAGAGGTGTTTGGTCAAGACCACACAGGAATTCTAGAGAAAACCTAATGACAGACTGCAGATCTTTTGTTGTGTGATGTGCTTGAATGAGATTTTTCTTCATTTTTAAGTGCCGCTTCAGTCATACTCATGAGCAGGTTGTGAATATTGTGCATATTTAAATGCAAAGACTTTATAGATTTGTAACTTGAAACTAAAATGGTTGTGTATATATTTCGAAACAGTTAACAAAATTTTAAAAGTAATCCATTGTTCTTCCTTTAGGACTTCTATAAATTGCTTTTATAGCATTTCAGCCAAAGTGGATAAATGTTGTTGGTCTTTAAAATCTTGTTTATCCAATTCTGCATTTTAGCTATAATTGATTGTAATTTAGTGTTTAATAGGTTTAATAAAGATTGTTTCTGTAGCTTTTCAGTGATATGCTAACATCTAGATATTAGCTGTTATGCCAGTGTTTTTCAAAAATTGCAAAACAAATAATCATGTTCTTTTGATTTTTTTAAAAAATAAATGTGAAGTATGTGTGTTCATAAAACATATCTGTTCTTGAAAGATGTGGATGTGGTAGAAGATGAAGAAACATGTGATGAAATGATAGAATATGTCTCACCTGAGCAATTGGGAGAGCAGCTAGTGACCCTTTCCTCATTACCAGAATCAAGGTGGAAGAATCTCCTCAGTCTTGATATTATCAAGGTAATGCTATTAGGCACATCATTGCTTATCTACTGTACTATTTGGATTGTATTTTTGACGAAGAAGGTAAAATAAGGGCTATTTCTCCTGTAATGTAAAACAGACAGACAGTTGTCTTAAGCATTCTCTTGGATGTTCAAGAAATCTTGAGAAGCAGGAACTGTTTCATAACTTTTGCCATTACTGTGTCTGCAACATGCAAAATAGCTGCCTGAAGGCAGTAATTTCCATGTCAATGCAGCTAGTAAGTGCCTGTAAAGCTCTTCTAGGTTATGCCTCCAAATCACTGTTGGGCATTCCCGTAACTGGAAAAAAGAGGGAGTGTGCAAAAAATAGTAGTATACAGCCAGGTATATTTGCCCTTGTTCTGTGAGCTGCATTTACCTAATCACAAAATTTGATCCTACTTTTCAGGTATTTTACAAGATGTTGCCATAGTAGACTATATGGTGCTTTTCCCAAATTCTAGGATTTGGGAGAGGGGCTGTTTTTCTTATAAATAGTTAGCGGTAAAACATCTTACCTGTGTATTTACTTTTCAGTTCATCCTTACAGTTTTCATAGTTTTTGAAAAATAAAACTCTTGACAAAGAAAATTCCCACATGTTCTTACTATGATGATGATTTTAATTCAAATATCTAATTAACAGAAAAAAAATAAACCAAGAGAGCCACCAAAAGTTCCAAAGTCAGCCCCTTTCTTCATCCCAACGGTTCCTGGTCTTATACCCCGATACGTTGCTCCAGAGGAAGAAAATGATACACAGGTAAAAACAAGAATCAATATAACAGTGTTTATGTAGTGTATTGTACAAGAGAATCTTAAATGCTTTTTAGTGCTGAGTGAAATCTTGCTAAAGGCTTTAAAAGTACCAGTTTTAATGCAGTTGCATTAATGCTTTCTTTCTTAAAGTCTTTTATTCTGTCAGTAGGAAAAGAATCTAATTGAAATGTAAAACTATGTTTGCATATTCACGTACACTCATTTATACTTTCATGGTCTAGTCAAAGGTAGTAAACCTTGGAGTACTGGCACAGAAATCTGATTTCTACATTCGTCTGGAAGAAGCCCTGAGCACTAATGAATGTAAGTTGACAAGACATTTCACTAAAAATGTAGATGCTAATAACATTTTGATATATGTTTGATTTCTAATCCCAGAACAGTTAACATGTGCAAGGGAAAAAAAATATGCATAGTACAGTGGCAAAGAAAATGACCAAAGAGAAAGGCAAGGAGCTTTTCTAGTCAGCTGTAGTCAGCTATCTATATCTATCTAGATATATAGATATAGTCAGCTATAAAGCTGACTAATACTTAGATAGCCAATCTAGATCAAAGATCCATTGGTACTCCAGCTTGCCTGCAGCATGGAACCCAGTTCTGGCTAAAACCCATACAGAGAAAGAAGGTAGCATTCCTAAGACTGTTAGACTATTTGGAGATTGCAATGATCTTGCCCAAAAAAAGTGGTATGTGTTATTTGCAGGGTAAGAAAGGAGGGAATGATCTAGTAAGGAATACTCTGGTGATTCAGTGAAACATGAAAAAACATAATTTGCCTAGCAAGTTCTTTTTTCAAGGGAGACTTCACTAAACATTCAGCAAACTTAGAGCTTTAGTTGATTGCTTTATAATTTAAAGCTTAAGAGGAGATAATGTATATAAAAATAAGCTGTTGGATTTCTTTTGAGATTCAATTCATTTTGAAATTCAGTCACTTAAATTGCCTGTGGAATGTACCTGCTCTTTTCCCTGTTTAACTTGTGCTCCTACAGAATCATTGAAATTCAGGTTTTTGGAAATGATTCTAATATAGCTGGCTTGGAAATGTGAATGGACAGTCACTGGTAACTTGTCCACAAGGCAGTTCTGCTTGGAATTTTTGTATTTCTTAAACTTACGCTCTTTCGAGATGATCAGCTTACTCAATTGCACTTAAAATGTTTTGTGTGCAGAACTTTATTATCTATCACAATCACGGTGTGTTCTTATGCTGTATTTTTAGTATTTCAACTGATAGTATTCTATTAAGCTGCTCAGAGAATAGTGAACCATCAGGTGAATATTTAAAAATCTAACCTAGCACCTAGAGGCTGGGCGTACCAGGAAGCAAGTGCACTCCATGGTGCATTGCACTAGTGGTCCCATGGGTCTTCCTCAGGCCAGCTCTCTGCTGGAAGGTGGGTGTGCTCCAGGGTCTCTGCTGTAATCCCAGAGCAGTGAGCCTGTTACCCTGACTCGGGAAGCTGCTGGTGTATAACGTAGCTCTGTGCTTGCTAGTTCACTGGCATCTTTTCTAAAGGTGACTAGGCTATGCAAATAAATAGTATTATACTAGAAGCCATCCTGGCTTACCAGTGGGACTGAGACAGGGTTTCATAACTCAGATCAGGACTGTGGAACATCGATTGAGCTGGGTACCATTTCCATATTGTGTGTGTACCAGCTTCATGGTATGTTCCATGCTTGGTTTTTTAATGTCACAGCACAAAAGTGAATTAGTGCATCTGTTTAGTACTGGTAATATCACAATTACATTTAAAACTAGCTAATGATTTTCATAGGAATCAAATACAGATGGAAACAGATTTATACCACCTAAGGAATATTAGCCAATGCCTGATACCATTAGTTATCATGATATAAGAGTATAGGAAGTTGCTCTTCATAGCAAAATAAATATTAATTAGAAGACATTTTTCAAAATGTTTTTACCAACATCTGTGTTTGCAACTGTACGTATTTTTATTTCTGCCTTTTTAAAGCAAGTATGTGGAATTCTCAAAGATCAGGTAGGACTGTAGAAATCCCGAGGAGAGGAAGAACATTTTTGAAGAGGAGAAAAAAGTTAGTAAATTGCATGTGTTTCTACCAGGGATATATTTCCCCCACCCCTCAGGTCCCAGGAAGAGCAAGAGGAATTCACTTAACAAAAGTAATAATTACCTTAGAGGCATCAGATGATCCTCAATTTAGCTTCATGTCAATAAAAGTAAACACTGTAATGATTCCTAGTAAAAGTACTACCCTGTTTCTTCTAGGATATATCTGCAGTAACAGCTTGAATTCCCAAGCATAGATGTTCTTTTTGCCAAGAGACGTAAAATGACATTGTTAATGTGATTAATAAGAAAATTTGGTCAGCTTAAAAGACAGACGTGGGAAAAAAAGGTGATAAAAATACAAAGTTATTGCTTGTATTTTTCAAGGTGAACGTACAAATAAAATGCAACTGTCTTACTAGACGTGCTTCTCTGTAGTATGTGATGGGACATTAAATTAAAGACATGATGGCATTTTGTGGAAAACAAAAAAGTAAGGAAACAGTGAAAACTTGAAACATACAGTCACTGCTTAGGAATTTTGGAATAAACCTGTCCACATGAAGGATCTGTAAGATTCTTTTCTGCAAATGTTACTGATAACGTATGTTATGCTTTAACATACTTTAACAATGCTTTAACACAGATACAACTCCACTTAACTTACTGAAAAGCTTGGGACCATCTCATATTGAGATAGAACTAAGGGGTTTGGCTCCTGAAGGTGGTGGCTCAACGGAGGTGATGCTAAGCTTTTTGAGAATGATTGGGATGATGTTGAACAAGAAGTACAACTTCGAACTTGCTCAGGCATACCTTGCACTATTTTTAAAGGTAACGATTTTCTTACAAAATTTTATGTTAGTCCGGTTTAAAATTTTGGTTTTCCAGTAAAAGGATGCAAATTGTCTGCTTGAAAGAATTATCTTAAGTGATTTTTGTTGTGGATGGAGATGACACATCTGCTCACAGTCAAGAAGAACTTGCAAAAAACTAGATATTGTGAAGAGGACCGTGTCAGACAGCTTTTATTCTAGTATTTGTTACGTAGAATTGTTTTTATTTTTTGTAACATACCTAAGTTCTTAATGGTTGTTAATTGCTAAGCTAAGATACGTTATGTCTTAAGTAAGAAAAGAATTCAATGCACAATGGTTGGGAAAGTAAAATGGGCATTTTGTTGGACTTACCACTGGACATTGCAAGCCTGACTTACTTTCCATGTCAGTGGGCTGCCTTTCTTCTGTTACCTGTTAGGCATGACAGAGCTGATTAAATTAATCGGAGGTGTGTTTAAGTTAGAAAGTGTATATGTCACATATATATATGTGATAAAATACAGTAGCAGTTACTCTCAGAGATAAAGTGGTTTTGCAGAAGATTGAAACCTTTCTGATGTATAAATGCTTATCTTGTCAAGATACTCTGATTTGTGAAACTGTGGGAAAGCAATTATTTACAATTTAATAGGAAAAAATTGTTATAAATATTCAGACGTGTAATACTGTTGATTTAACTGAGTATTTCTTAATAGCAACATTGTGAGGATTGGTTTTAAAGATAGAGTGTAATGCTGGACAAATATGACTTGCTCTTTTCTTTTTATTGAGGTTAAATAGAATGCACGGGGCAGCTTCCACAAGAACAAGTAATGCAGATGAATCAGAGTTGATCTGTAGAGTGAAGCACTTAGGGTTGAGGTCTTGATATTTGTTCATCAGTGGCCTTTTATCATGTGTTTTTATTATTAGTTTGGTCCGATGGACTGGATATGATTAATACTTGCAATATTAGATGTTAGAATTCATCTTTTTTTTTAGTTTCATACACAACAAATTTAGCTCTTGCAGGGTAGGTTAGGGACAGCTAGGTAGTTTGCCTTAGAAAGGTACTCCTGAACTGAACTACAGTAGAATAACATAAACTCACTCTGTGACATGTGAACACCAATAGCTTTTGTTATAAGTTCCCAGTAAAACAGCTCTGAGCTTAGCAAGACTCCTAGATCTAAGTTGTAGTCAGGAAAATAACTATTCCATTCATTAAGTGGTAATAATGTCTTTCCTTTCTACAAGACTGAGAGGTTTCGTTTCTTTATACTTTATCAAGGTTACTGTTCATTACACAGAGAGCTATCACCTCCCTGTATCAGTATAGACTGTGCTGGCATTGTTCTTTTTGCTTTATGCAACACGGATAATTAAAATAATAATCCTGAGTGACCTCGGGGCATCTATTTAGCCTTTCTAGCCTAAAGAGGAATTTGTGATGCAGGTTGGAAAGAGGAGAAAGTTACCTTCTAGAGAAGTGTGTGATTAGGATAGATTCAGCAGCAGTGGCACAAGAAGATACGGTAAAGCAAAAACAAATTTAAGACATTTTGGGGATGGTTATGCCATCTAATGCATATGTGGGAGTAAAATGGCTTGTAAAAGACTAGAAAAGGGAGGCAGCATTAAATGGAGGAAATT